CCTCGAGCTGAACATCGACCTGGTCTTCTTTGCCGATATTCTCAGCGAACATGATAGTATCCTTGCCCGTGGAGTCAGTCATTGGAGTTTGCTTCGCCATGTCGAGTCAAATTGATGCTCTGATTGCTCGGTTTTGTGCGATACCATGATAAAAAGCCAGTGCCGATTTGCTCAGGTATATCAAAACTCCTCTGGCGAGCGACACAGTTGATCTTTATACATCATTGTTTGTGAAACGAGCTGAATTTCCCACACCTTCCATAATGCCTCGAAGTTACGACGGCTAAGGCGCACGGGTAGAAGTTGAGGGCTAGTCGGCCGCCAGTCGCGCCGATGAGCAGCCTGGCCCCGGGGTAGTGCGGGGCCCCGGACGAGTCACCCTATGCCCCCAAGCCCGGCCAAGGAAAACTTTTGGGCCTAATACCGGGTCATGAGTCGAATTGGCGCTGTCTATAGACAATTCCATGTGTGAGGTTGGTGCGGGGTTGATGCGCTTCCTAATCACCGTGCCTGCCGCGGGAAGGGAATACAGATCCTACCCGTTTCTTCAGCCGAAGGCAGTCAAACCGAAGAGAACCGGTATGCTAGCCGGATACCTCATTGATCTGCAATTCCATTCGAAAACATCTTGTTTTGTTTTTGGACTTGCGGAAGAGGTTCCAAAGACATGATGGCGTGGACAGATACTGGGTTCCAAGTTTTCAGACCCCCAGAAACTGCGCACTTGGGCATATCGATGGCCCAACCAATCGAAGATCTTGGTTGAACTATTTTTCATCTCGTCAAAAATCAAAGATGTCTTCTTGTGGTTACGACAGGGCTGTCGTCACGAGGTTCTGGCCATAGATACTCGAGAAAACCTGTGGAGCGATTGCTTTATTTACTGCTACCAAAAGTATCCTATCTACCGTCGTTCGCCAAATAGTCCTCAAACCTTCTCATACACAGTGAAAACAATGCCGCCGCTCAGTACTAGCCGTCCAAGTCTCATCGTACTGCCACTCCACAGGCCCCGAATTCCTCGCTCATGCACAATGCTTTTGAATGCTTCGGAAGTACTGGTTCCTTTTGCAGACTGCGCCTTCGTTTTGACAGAATCAAAGGGCTGAGTGGCATATACGTTGATGATGCCGGCTAAAGCTCCGGAGGCGAAGGTCATGGTGCTATTTTGCGGCAGGTCGTACTGTTGTGAGACCTCTCTGATGAAGTTGTAGTAGCCCATGCGGACGGCAGATGTCGCCGACTGTTTCAACGTTGTTGATGCTAAACCTCTGTATACTTCGCTGATGCCGCGCTCGCTTATCATCAGTCTCAAGGCATGAGCCCCGCCGTTGTATCTGCGCGAGCCGGATTTGGCGTCGTCAATTCTGTGCAACACTTGTCAGATGATGAGCCCTGAGTGAGCATCATTTAGTACATGCAAGGCTGTTTTGACACGCTCTGTTGGTGTCACAGCCACTGTGCTCTCAACCGCACCGGCGATCCTTCCAGCAAGAATGCCCCGAGCTGGCGATAACCGGCCTCGGTCATCCATCAACAGGTTCCGGATGGAGTCGAAAGAGAGAAACCTGACGCCAGCCTTGAAGGTCGTTCCCTAATTCGACACGCGTCAGCATAGTCGGAACTGAGAGCTCGCCAGGCACGTTATATCACGTACTAGGATCAAAGTTGAACAGCCCGTGTAAACGCCTCGTACCCGTCTTGTCGGATGACATGCGAAATCACAGCCATGGGATTTCTCGAATGGGTTGGTTGCAACTGCGCCCTAGTTTTGGCGAATTCGAAAGGATACTATGTTCATCAGCACTTCTTTCTGTCTTATCATGGAAGTCTTGAGTTTGGGAGGAGTCGGAGGACGTCATACAGTAATCGTGGCTTCGACACCTCCAGCGACACCACCAGAGAACAACGACAGTGCGGGGGAGATCTTTCGCTTTGCATTCTGGTTCAATGCTGGAGCCTTTGAGTTATTGAGCTTTCCTATGAGTGATTCTGGCGTGTTCAGAGCCTGGGCTCTGGATGCTTCGGTGGCTAGTGATGTCATATTTGTGACGACTCTGATTTGAGATGAAAGTGATCAAGAGTTGCCAAATGCGAAAAAGAGGGCATAAGCTGAGGGAAACATTGCCAAGGACACTATTCAAGTCTTTTACGTATTTCTAAGGCCTCTGCTAGAGTTCTGACTTTTCCTCGCTTATTATCAGAGGCTGTATGGCTCGTCCAGAGAGGTCAGATCTCGAGTGTGCGGGCACAGTTGTTTGGCCTAGGGTGCGAATCCCGCGGGAAGGCAATGGCTGTGCAAGGGCATGGCTACTTCTGCCGTTTAAGAGGCTGGGCGGCTGCTCCTGCCCCACCCTTTTTGTCATGACATTCCTGCCAAGGCGCATCCCGTCCGTGGGAAACTACTACACACCTGAGCCCATCCTTCCCGCTGGTAGTTCGTTCATGCTGGATTGCACCTTCCCGTCACTTCGACCGTGTCAAACGCACCACCTTTCACACAAGTTTCGTCTTCTGATCATGAGCCTGCCCGTCATATGCTCTGTTACATGATGTTAAACCACCTTACCTAGGTATGGAAGTATCGCCAGGATCCACCACCATATCAGGTCGTCCGCGGAGACGGGCCGTTGAAGCATGCACCTTTTGCCGGAAGCGCAAGGTTTGTTTCCTCATCTTGCACGGATCTTCGACTTCGAGGCAGCACCCGCTGCTAACCTCGCTGCCAGATCAAGTGCAACAACGAGCAGCCGACGTGTGCCAATTGCAGGACGTACGCGAAGGACTGTGTCTACGAGCCGCTTACCGAAACGAATACCTCCGCTCAGCCTCGGACATCCACTCGGCGCCGTCAGCGGCCCATGCCTGCTGGTCAATGGTGCAGCTCCCCCTTCCGCTCCGAGCCGCGCAACCCGGATGTGCGCCGCGTCGATGATGCTAGCACGTCCACCCCAATGCTGCTGATCACGATGTGGTTGCTGCACGTCGTGAACATTCCCAGCACGGCACAGATACCAGCCCAACAACCACTCCTCGGACTGGCGTATCTCGCATTGTGGTGTCGGCCAATGGTGTCTCAAGTTATCATGGACGCACAAGTGCCCTGTACGAGGACAACGTTCAGGAGCGAGCTTCAGCGGCTGACCTGCATCCGAGGATGCCAGAAGCATGGATTGAACAGGGGCTAGTCGCTGAAGCTGCCACGCAACGTGCGTGCTCTGCCTACCTACCTAGAGTGATGCTTGGTATCTGTCTAACTCCCCGCTGACCATTCTACAGGCCAGCTTGAGGATTTCAATTACCAATCCGGTGCACTCGATTTCGATGGCGTAGATTCCGTCCTTGGGATGCATCTTCTTTCTCTTCACTGGAATCGACAACACCATTCCTTCCTCATCACGTATCGGCCTGCTTTCATGCGTGATATGGCTTGTGGTGGTCCATACTTTGCGAAGCTGCTCCTAAACGCTATCTACTTCGGCGCCTCCAAATTTAGCCCTCGGCATGATGTTCGCAAAGATCTTAACGACGTCCGCACAGCTGGATGGGAGTTCCGCGAACGGGTTCGAGAACTGCTGGGCAGCGCGTTGAATCGCAGTGACGTAACCACAATCCAGGCTCTTCTCGTCATGACGAACTCTCTATTCGTACTCGGAGACGAGCGAAGTGCCGCCTGGCTATATGCTGGTCTCGCATTCCGAATGATCATTGATCTTGGAATGCATGTTGATGTCCCAGATCTTGGCCGCAAATTTTCTGACGAAGACCTTGAGATTCGAAGGCGCGTGTTCTGGGGCGCTTTCGGTATGTTCCTGCCTAATGAGCTCTTTGACCACCATGCCATCATCCTGAACTAACCGCAAATATCAGTCGTCGATAAGATACAAAGCTTGTACCAGGGTCGGCCCGTCACCATCAAGGAGTCAGATACTCTTGTGCCCATCAAGTTCCTCGACACTTATGAAGAATTTGAGCATTGGAGGCCCTTCGCATATTCCAGTCAGTCGAATGACTATCCTGGCTCGCCGGCATACAGCGCCTCAACCTTCACATCGCTGTGTCGATTATCGGTTGCCATGAGCGATATCCTAGGTTGCATTTACACGGAGAGAAGTTTCAGCCAGGCCGCGACCGAGCTGTCCAAGATGCTAGAGACACTGAATGCCAAGCTGAGTGCTTGGAAGGAATCGCTGCCTACACATCTCATATTCGACCCGAACAAATCTTCTTGCATACCTCCACCGCACGTGTTGAGCTTGCAGTCAGTAAACCCGCATTTCCTTTGCTGCTCACTTGCTGACGATTTGCAGCGCCATGTACCATGTCCTCACCATTCTGCTCCACCGACCGTTCGTGGCAGATGGTCACCTCTACACCACATCACGCTCTGTGTCGGTCAACTCATTCATTACGTGCGCATCTGCTGCCGATAGCATCGTCGCACTGCTGAGAGCATACGACCGGGCATTTACTGTGCGACGTGCGCCTTATCTGGTTTCCTATGCTACTTATGTTGCTGCAACCATCCATGCGCGCATCGCCGCCAACGGAGTAACGAGTCTGATGCTCATCGCAGCCTGCAGACATGTTTGGCTGTATTTCGAGAGAATTCAGAGACAAGCTGGGCAGTGAGGAAAGCAAATGCAATAGTACAAAGCTTGATGAAGAGGCTGGGTGTCAGTGTGGCTGAAGGAAACATAGGTTCCGATGTTCACTGCCAAAACGCGCCAAGATCTACGGCTCAACCTTCAAGTAACAATGGTACTGGAAATACCGACATCACCACAGCACCCGAACACGCAGAACAGGCTGAGATTGCAGTGCCTGACAACATTTCACCCAGTGCGGGGTGGTCCGATATCGATGGCATCATCCAAAGCTTTGTCAAGGGCCAGGACGGGCTTGCCGCAGCGAGCGAATATCAAGCCGACCTGCGCCATACGGACAACTTCATGCCAGCACAAACTGCACCGATCCCACCGGGCGGTTTTTACCTTAACAGCGAAGTTATAAGACCTCTTGATGATCGGAACTTGAGCGACAACACAGTCACAACCTGGTCCACGGATATCCACGCGCCGGGTGGGACAGCCTCGATTGATGACCTGCTCTTCGGGTTAACGGATCAGCCCTTGACAGTTTCCCGTTCTGAGGATCGCCACAAGACCGCAAAATCCCTCGGTAGCGGAGAGTCCCAGTTTGAGCTGTCAAAAAGACGAATCGATGGCAAGGTAAAACTCTCCGACGTTTATTCTCAGTAACTGAGACTGGGGGCGGAAAAGGGGGGCCAGGTGACGGGGCGAAATCCTGCTGCCTTCCCGCGGGAACGTCACGTCCCATGGATGTCCACGGGAACCATCCCTTGCTCTGCAAGTGTCACAACCGCTTCGGCGAAATGGAATCAGAGCCATGAGAAGCATCTTGATATTCGATATTTTCCATGCGATCTGTTACTCCGTCGGAAGCCTTTAAATATGCTGCGTATACCCGAAGTTTCAGGGTGACTGAGCATCTTCAACAAGCCTTCACCAACCTGCCACACCCATAGATGAACGCCAGCAAGCGAATCTTCCAAGAAAGACTTGGTCGCCACTATATCCAGCTTCGTGGCCATCAACTCCATCTACAATGACAATCACTCCCATTTCCTCATCTGCCAGAAGGACTCGACGTTCATTGCCAGCCGTCCTAATGCGAGCTGGCACGTCAAAGGGCCTCTTCATCCATCGAGCGCATCTCCCATCGTCAGAGAATGTATGGGCTGCTCCCCTCCTGGCCGCAATGGGTTCACGTTACAACGACACCCGCCAGATCGATGGCGTTGGCGGCGCAACAAGTGTCACATCGAAGGTGGCAGTGGTAGCTCCTTCAAGTCGCCCTGGCGCTGATGTCAACTATACCTTTGTGCAGGTAGCCGTAGGGAAAGAAGCCATCGACATGAGCGGCAATTGCGGAAACATGTGTTCTGGTGTCGGGCCGTTCGCCGTCCAGGAAAAGCTCGTGGAGCCTCAGCTTGGCGCACGAACTGTGGATGTACGGATTTTCAATACCAACACTTCAAGAATCATTGTCGAAACTGTACAGATAGACGAAAATGGTGAGCTCGAGGAGCACGGCAATTGTATCATTCCTGTGGTCAGGGGTTCCGGCAGCGAAATCAAGGTCGCGTTCGTTGATCCGGCAGGGAGCATGACGAACAAGCTTTTCCCCAGCGGAGTTCGCGCTGAGAAGATCGTCGTTGACGACGTGGCAGGCCTGTCGCCTTTCTCGGTAGATGTGACACTCATCGACTCCGCAAATCCATTCGTCCTGGTAGATGCCCAAACCACGGCGCCGCTTCTAAAAGGCCAACAGTAGGACTCGCCACTTATTATCACAGTCACCGAAGCTATTCGCCGACACGGTGCTGTACTGATGGGCCTTGCGCAAGATCTTGAGGAGGCAGCTCTGGTTCGAGGCACGCCAAAGATAGCCTACGTGTTGTCGGCCTGGTCCTTCACCCTGCTCGCCCTCAGACATCCAAGTCCTGGCGTATAGCATGGGAAAACCACACCCCAGCTTGCAGTTGACCGGCGCAGTGTGTATTGCAAGTGCAGTCTGCATGAAAGGCACTGTTGCAAAGAGCGTTGCACATGGACAGAGATTGGGCGAAAGCGAGGCGCTTACTCCAGAGCGAACTCCTAGCTCACCTAGGACGGCGACACGGGACAAACAAGAACTCGAACAGAGAGCTGATCTGTTGGCGCCGGGCTTGAGCTCTTGCAGCACTCAGGTGATCACAATCACCCACGGCAACGGCTCCATGGAAGTTGAAGTTTGGACCAAGCTAGGCCCATGTGGCCTCGAAATCGACCACTGCATCGTTTCGAGAACCGCTCGAAGATTATTCGAGGGGAAAGTATTGTACTGTGTCTGACAATAAAACGTCAACTCCATATGTGATTAACACTGTTCAACTTAGTTCGGACCAAGCAGCAGTAAGACGTGATGGCGAGGACCCTCCTGAGACCATTGAGAAAGTAAAGCGGCTATTTCCCCCTTCCTCGGGACGGCTTTGTCTTTCTTGCTTATGGAGATTGAAGGACAGCAGCCCGATATCATGGCCGCCGTTGTTACGGACCGCGCATGGGAGAAAAGCGGTCAGCATACCATTTGAACAGGCGCATTGGAGCCAGCGTAACCGCCGGCCTCATCGGGTCTGGGCCTTCGACCGAACACTTGGGTCTCAACACCGCAAGACTTGTCTTACCGAAAGAAAGAAAGTCTTTGTCACACCAGCTCCTTGAATGATAAGTCTTACGCTGCGGCATGCTGAGGATGGCGTTTCGTGGCCGCGCCAATAGCCCAACAACGTGAACTGGCATTTTCAAGACACTGACATTGGAGGCAGCATGCTCTGTCTTTCCACAGCTTCCGACAGCATTCCAGGTACCATCTGACAGAACCTATGTGCTTTTTTTTTTTTTTTTTTTTTTTTTTTTTTTTTTTTTTTTTTTTAGCCGCCTTGCTTCTGGTTCTCATGTGCAGCGCCCTAACAGTAGGTGGACGGTACATGATGGGAGGGAGGGAGGATGTGGCCAGACCATGGCTCCATTGCATTCAGTGGCGTGGCAGGGAGCGTGGATCGCGTACGTCTTAGCAAGCGCGGCATGAGCGAGAGCGGACGCACTGTCGACTGACCCGTCTTTGCGATGACCAGTTCATGCCGAGGACTACCTGGGGAAATCCTCCACGAACGACGTGCACCGCCATATGGCTCTAGCACCCAAGGCCTGTGCACCACCAGGAGGAGGGTAAGATTGGGGGTTCATGCGACGGCACGAATTTGTTTCGTAGCAACTACATGGAGTGTAGGCTCGGGCAGGTCAAAAACACAGGTTCTGGGTACTGAGAACAGAGCCGCGCAATACATCGTCTGAAGAAGGCCGCGCACGCGCAGTGCCTCTGGCAGGCAGGCTGGCAGCTCTGGGCAGTAAAACAACGGCTCTGCAAACCGTACTCGAGCCCCTGAGCCCTTCAGCCAGTCACTGCAGTGGGCGTTCAGGCAAGCAAGCACCAGGGGCAAATACTCGGACGAATAATTCGGATGAATGATTGGGACGAGGCAGACTGGATAGTGGAGGTCACAGGGTAGCAAAGCACCGGTGGCCAGAGCGGCTGGAGAGGGCAGGAGAGGCGGCTCGCGAAGAAGGAAGCCAGGTAACTGCTGCAGTGACGGCGATGACGAGCGAACGGGCGATGAGAGGTTAAGGGTCGCATGCATGACCGCATGCGTTGGGCTCCATTCCCTCTCCGTGACCGCCACGACTCCAGGACCGGTCCCGATGGTTTGGACTGAGCGCTTACACCGGACACTTTACACCAGGCTGGCGCTTCAAAGGACGTCGACGACTGTCATTCGACTCTTTCGCGATGCGTGCTATCTAGCGGTGTCCGTTTCCCTCACGGTAGCCAGCAGTCAGGCTTCAAAGAGGCCCGTCGGGCGGACGGCGACAGGATCGGAAATGCTTGGCCGCTGAAACCGAGAGTGTTTCACCAGCAGTGGCATGGCACCTTTTACCACGCTGGCTTGGCTGGCCACGGGCTGATGTGGGTGGCAGCGAATGAAAGACCCGAGGCCGAGTTGCTGGGCTTGTGGTCTCTGGTCGTCTCTGGTCCCCGGTTCTTCCCAGCCTTCTTCGCAACTTCTCCTCTCCATTGCAGAGTCACATCGTGGCTGGGCCCCCTGGATCTATCCCTGCGAGCACGAGCCATCCGTCAACGCCGTCCTGGATCCGGTGTAGCGTGTTCGATGGCCTGTCCCTGTCGGCCGCCCTCCCCATGTTGCCAGCGAGATCTCACTGGGTGGTAACCAGTGGACGGAGCGGAATGCGCTTGGCATCATGTGAAGAGCCATTTGAACGACGACCAATGGTTCACAGACTAAGCAGTAACGTGAGAAGGGCAGCGCTGCGCAGCGCAGCGCAGGGCGACGAACGAACGGCTCCCTGTGTGCCGTGGCGTGCGTTCAGCTCTTCACCTCGCCACACGATTCCTCGTACCTGGCTTGCGCATTACTCAGACGACGCAAGGCTGCTCCATACTTAGCACACGAGCATCGTATTCCGCATCAATGATCGACTTTATGCTGCCTGGCAGTGCCAACGACCTGTGGGGAGGAGGTATCCACAGCGAAAAAGATCCGAAGAGTGAGTGACATCGGCCACGTTGGTGACCTCCAGAGGCCAAGCCAGACTTCACCGCATTCCACCCACTCGCAGCCGAGGGCACACAGCTCCCAGAAATAGGCCAGCGCATTTCTGTGCAGTGCTCGCTACGGAGGCTCAGGAATGCGTATGTGCAAAATGTTTATCGGACTGCCTGCCTGCCGTGGCCCGTGGGACCTTGTGGAGTACATGGCAAGATGGTAGACCAGCCGGTGCACACAACATGGGACGACTTGGTCTTGTGCGTCCTGAGCGTCCATGGCCGGCGGCAGGACCGCTTCTGTGACTCGCGTGTTCGCGTGTTCGCTGGGACGCCAGAGCGCGTGTGTGGCTGTCAGCAGGATGTCCGTTTCCCGTTTGAAAGTGCACATCCTGATCGCCATGGTAGGCTGGCGAGCTATCGGCCGACCGACCGACCAAAAAAAGAACGACTGGCTTTCCCGTGCCGCCCGCCCTCTAGTCTGACTTGTTCGTCGCTGGCTGGGAGACTTACGTTAGTAGCGACCAGTCCATTGTCTTGAACGACGCGACCATATGTTTCGTCACGACTCTTGTCACCTTGAAACAATCAGAAGCAAAGAAGGGAAGTTCGACAGCCATGGGCAGCCACAGCCGTCCCGGGCAGAGGAACCATTCTGGCTGTAACGCTGC